AGACCCTACAACTAAAAAAAGAAAAATTTGCATTTGCAGTGTTTCAAGTAATGCATTAAAAAATAATTCAAAATTTTCTTTTAGAATGTAGGGTCTAGGAGTATGAAAGTAGGGTCTATGAGGTTTAAAAGTACGGTATAGGTTTCTTAGAATTAGACCCTCCTTTACTTCTCCAAATGGAAGATTGGAAAATTTCAGCCTGTTTTGGGAGTCAATGTAGGGTCTAATTGTATTAGAATTAGACCCTACTTTACTACTCCTAACACTCAATAAACCTTGAAAATTCAGGGTGAAAGTAGGGTTTAAATTTCGACTCATATTAGTAGAAACTAAAACCCGTCGAAGACAAGTACGACAGCTAGTTGACTTATAATTAAGAATAACTAGATATTAACTGGATATTATTAAATTATTAAGTGCAATTCTTTATAATAGGAGAGAGTAGGACAAAGGCGCTATGCGGGGCAAAGACGTTTTTTAAAATATCTCCTTTATTTTCTGTCTATTCCAATTGGTATTAAAAATTTAGTTTCAATACAATCAGACCAATTGATTAAAAAAAAGAAAAACCTAAAAAATCAAATATTTTAAGAAATATAACAAAAAAATTGTTTTGCAAAGATGAAATGATAATTTTACTGAACGAACTCTTATTTATTAAAACATAAGTTTAAGTATTTAATTTTGAAAAACATAACGTGTAAATACAGTCAGGTCCCCATACTGTTAGATTCCAAACTGTTATGTCCTCAGTAGTGTTATGTTTTTGCATAACCTCCAAATTCAGAAGTGTTAGGTGACGTCACCAATTTTCAGGGCCGTATTCTTAAGCCCAAAGAAAAGGGGGCATATACTTCTAGGCCAAACTTGAGGTGTATATATTTACGTTCCTGAAAGGTGCGCAGTAGACATACTTTGAGCACATAACAGAGCTGAGTCTGGAGGAGTGGGAAATTTCTGGAAATGTAACAGTATGGGGACCCGACTGTAAATTAAATATTTCTCTACACAACTGGTGTGATGTTTTAGTTTGATTTTGTATCTAAATATTTGAAATTTAAAGTAAAAAAAGGTTTGTTATGTGGGGCAAAGACAATATTGAAAATTATTTGGTTAAAAACAATTGAATATTCGAATTTTCTATTTATTACTATTTATTAATTCAATGTCACTTAAATTATTTTTTTTTTAATTTTTGTTGTACATTGAGTTTATATTATTTATATGAATATTAAAAAATCCATTTGAAACCAGAATTATTAAATTTTCATGTAAAGTCGAAAATATGTTAGAAATTATTAAATTTAATTAAATATTACACAATATCGATAAATAGTGTAGCTTATAAAATCATTAAGCTTTCTTGACTTCACGTCAGAGTAGCAGAGTGAAATAAAAGACGTATAAATATGATAAATTAATTAGTTAATTAATAAAAAATGTAATAATTTATATTAGTTTTTGTATTTTGACAATACTGGGTAAGTAATGGCAGTCAATATTGGGCCATTAACGTCTGCCGACGTCCAACCGTAATTAACACCACAAGAGTCGTCCCAATAATATCGGCCAAGACTAGGTGACAACTTTGCCAGTACTGGGCCGTTATTAAGCCATGATGGTTTTCACACTTAGGGCGATTTTAAAAATTCTAAACATTATCTTTTTACTTTCCTTAAAATTTCGTTTTCTTCTTCATTAATTAATATTAATAATCATCAAGAAAATTAGTTTAAATGTAGTTGGTTAAATACCAATCAATACTCAATATGGAAAACTATAAAAATACTAAGAAACACGTCGAAGACGGGTATCGCAGCTATTAATATATAAGTAGGAATAACAATAACTAATAACCCGTCGAAGACGGTTATCGCAGCTAGTTTTAAATAAAACAATAAAGACTCGAATTCACAACATAAGGTTAAAATCACAAAAAGTTTTTATTTTTTATTTAAATAGTTTAATTCTTTTAATAATATGTTGTTAACCTTATGTTTCGTAAAAATTATACTAATAAATATAACTTGTTAATTTTTTTAAGGCTTATAAATGTTTTCTTTTAGAAATATAAGCAAAAATGTCGCTGCCCCAGCGAGTGGGGCAAAGGTATTATTTTGCATTGTTTTTAATTTTCATTAATTAATGTATTTTTAATAATAATATACTAAATAGAAACTATTAAAATTTCTTGTTGATTAGTTTTAGAATAATGTAAAACAAATACTTCATATGTAAATTAATTGCTTAATTTAAAAAATATACTTCGATCAATGTAAACCTAGCGCCTTTGCCCCACACTCCCCTATTATAAATTTTTCAAGGTACTTCTTATTTTTAGAATTTATTAAAAAAAAATTTTCTCCAAACACTATTGAAAAAAATCTACTTTACTTGTAACACGTAAATCAGACACTATCTTAAATTTCTTCAAAGAAAAATCTATCTTATCATAATTAGATTATTTTATACTTTATACATTTACGATTAAAGTATATGGAAATAACGATTCTTGTGCGATATATAATTTATAATAACAATAATTTTTTTTGCAGAATGTAAATTAAATTTTTATTGGGATTTTATTAAATTTTTAAATTTAATGTAGTTTTAATCAGAGGAAAATTTAATTTATTTCAGTAAAATAAAATGTAGGGGAGGATGGGGCAAGGATAGTATAGTTGCTGTTATGCTTAGACGGCTTGCTCAAAAATCGCGTAATTCATGGTATATTCGCGTCTTGACACCAAAAGATGATAGTAAAAATTGGAAGGCAATCTGTCACCATTTGCGAAGTTAGGAGTTTATTTTTGAAAAAAGTTTGTTTTGCTAAAATGTCAACGTAATGTTTATCATATTGTTTTCTATATTAGAGTTTCAGAATATTTATTTACTTAAGTGTTTTCCCAGAATTAAAATTGTAAAATGTTTGCCTTATTGATAAGATATATTTATATTTGTTTTGAAAAACATACTTGCATTATTTAAGATTCTTATAAAAAAAAACATTTTTTTAGTGTAAGAATTTTTTTGAAAAGTGGAAACGACGTCTTTTAAGTGTTAATAAAAAGACTACTATTCATTGTTCAAAAAAATTTCGTACATGTATTTTTGGAGTAATTTTCATGCTCTTTAAGATGCAAAAAGAATTAGCTCCATATATTGTTGCCAAAAATATTTTTTGCGGTCTAAAAGAATCCTGTCAATTCTGCGAGTAGGACACACCTTTTCGCTGCGAGTTGGTCAAGATTTATATGCTGGAGATTTCTTTTGTTTTCAAGTTTAACCTATTTTATGTTTGTAAACATTGCAAAATATTTGATTCGAAATTTATAGTTTATAATGTATAAAATACAATATATTTTATAAAATACAAAATTTTGCATACACTTTTTATTAGTAGATGTTTTATTTAATTTTTATGCTTTTTAAGTGGATTTTGTGAGGGTGTCCAACTTGCAGCAAAGAAGAAAAAGTCCAAAAATCATCTTATTAGAAAATTGGCTACATTTTGAAAGTTTTTTCAAAAATTAAATTGCCGCCTTTACAGAAGTATAGGTAAGCTCTCTGGCTTTTAAACAAGACTTTAAACATGTCGATATCTCAATTTATTCAAAAGTTATAACCGAAAAACAAAACTATATCCAACTCGCAACAAACTCCCCTATACATAATGGTGAGTAATTATATACGGAAAACGAAGCTTATTGACCAAGAAATTGGTGGTCGTCTGAAGAAAATTGGTTAAACCTCTGATTCTAGTTCAGATGAATTTTGATACAATAATTGAAATTCAGAAAATGTTCAATACATATTTTTAATACTTGAGATATCAATATTGAATAGTCTAAATTCAATAAAATAAAGAAAACGAAAATTTACTGATTTTCTATAACATTTTTAGCATTCGGATTTTTTAAACTATCCTTGCCCCGGTGCTGGGGCAAGGATGTTAAAAAATTTTGTTTACTTTTTCATTTTAGATCCGAAAAGGTCTTACCTAATTATCCTTGCCCCATCCTCCCCTATATTTGAATCGGAGCCAACTAGGTTCTTTATTTGTTTTAAATACAAATTTTTTTCGGTGTAAATAAAACTTTTATTTGAACATAAAATAAAATTTTATTTAATCAAAATAAAATTTAATTGAATCAAATAAAATTGTATTCAATCCAAATAAAATTTATTTGAACCATGGAAAATTGTATTTAATCCAAGAAAGATTTATTTAAATTTATTTGAATTTTAATGGGACAGAGCCTTTCATCTGACAGATTTGTTTGAAGCAAATAAAAAATGTAAAATATATCTTTTTTCTGGGTGTAAAATTAATAGTTTTACTTAATTTACAAATATAGTATTATTAAATCAATCAATAAAAGTTTAGTTAAACGTAGAAAAACATTTTATTATTGAGCAAATAAAAATAAAATAACACCATAGATTATTAAATAACGTTTTTAATGTTTTCTTAAAATTTTAAATAATAAGTATAATACAAATTTTAGTAAAACTCCTCAAAAGTTGTGTATCATCTTAATACGAAATTTTGATACTTTCTAACTGCGCACTCGAATATTATTTTTCAATTTTTGAGAAAATTTATTATTTTAAACTAATAACTTTTTTTTAAATAATTATTTAATTTTCTCACATTTCTCTTATAAGTATATAAAAATTTACATTTTCCTACTTAATGTATTTCATCCTAATTAGGGAGAAAAATTTATTTGAATTACACAATAATTAATTAATTTGTCTTTCCATTTTTTTTTTTTTTTTTTTGAAAAATAAATATTTTATTGATCGAAATAAATATATATAATTAAATCAAAGATCAATAAAGCTATTTGGTTGGGTATATTTTATTGTTACATATATTTAAATTTATGAAATATTCACTTGAATATTGTTTCAATAAATAAAATACAAAATAAATAATTTTAACAAAAAAAAACGTAAATTTTTTTATTAAAATTATTTTTAAAAAATAAATACGTATAAATAAATTTTGATGTTAGTAGAATTCAAATTATTATTTTTTTCAATAATTTAAAATTAAAAGTATTTTCTGATTCAGAGAAAATTTTTTGTTTTAAAATTATAGTGAATAATTTGCCTATCATCGAGTTGATGAATGATTGTCAAATTATGCACAACATTTGTAATCTTTTCGCAAATACATATATACAAGTGGTTTATGATCTAATTCTAATAAAACTAAATCTTTCATAATAAATAGAATCACTCTTTCATTATTCTTATAAATGCTATTCGTTTCTTTTCTGTTCTGGAATTTTTTTTCTTTTGTTTTTGGGTATTCAATCACGTTTATTGTAGATTTGAACGTCTTTTTTATCCTCTTCGTCCATGTCCTTATCGTCCCAGCCCCATACACAATTATCGTGAGAGTGTCCATGATGATGATGATCGTCATTTTCGATTGGTGATTCTTTTCCAGTTGGTACTTGCATTCGAGTACCGTCACCAGATCTGGCAGATCTTTTATTTATCGTTTCAACGGTGACTGTTTTTAAATCGTAGGCCCATCCAATCCAGGCGAAAAAGTCAATGAATCCGGTTGTTAAATTGGCTCTGTAATTGCCAAGTTCAGCCGCTTTGTAGTCATAGGGAAAGACGTGATGATAATTGTGCCACCCTTCTCCGAAAGCTAGGACTCCAATTCTGAGACTGTCAGTTGGACTGATGGTACTAAAGAAGAATTTTTTCGATAATGTGTGACATAATATATAAATCTTAATTATTAATTAAGGGCCTGGATCGGATAACTGCCTGCTACGCATAGTTGAAAGGGACTATATACCAGTCAGACAACAGTGAGCGCCTCTAGGCCTCTCACTGCTGTCTGACTGGTATAGTCCTTTTCAGCCATGCGTAGCAGGCAGTTATCCGATCCAGGCCCTCAATTATTAATAGAGAAAAGGTTTTTTTTACTTAAATAATTAATTATTGATTAGTTTTCCTTAGGATTCCAAATAAGGACAATAGTGATCATTTAGTGGAACCCATATGAGAATTTTCAGCAGAGTACTAAATTAAAAATTTTGTCTTCCATATTGGATCCGCCATTTTAAAATTTTTTAAGATATTGATAACTCTACTAGATTCGTTATAATATTTACTGTTATCGTGTCTGAAGACAAGTGGCAATTTTGTATAAATATTTGATATTTAATAAACTAACAACAACTGACTCGGAATGCTCTAGTATTTTGCGCACGTATTCATAAAAATAAGTGACGACTTTGCACAAAATGAATAACTGACAACTTTCAGGTAATTAATCATATATGGGCAAATCCATAAAACTTTTGACTTTTAAGAAAAATTTCTTTTTTTTTATTAATTTGTATGCACATAGATGTCATTTTGCATACGTGTTCAAGAATGTTTTAGCACCACAAATTCATATGCGTGATTCATTTTTAACTCATGCCCCCAATGTTTAACACTTATTATTAACCCCTTCCGGAACTGAAATATTATAAAGTGAACCAAAAATGTGTAAGACCTTCCCATCAATTAAATCAGTTCAAACATTTTACTCGGAAGTTTTTGGGGTCGCCGCTGGACAATCTGAAGTCGGTTTTTCAAAATTCAAAATGGCGGCTCCATTATGACGGATGACAAATTTAAATAGTTGGATTTGATTGAAACTCGTTACTCGGGGGTTTTTGGGGTCGCTGATTACGAATTTAAAGTTTAAATTTAAATTTAAAATGAGTAATTGAAGTTTTTGATTTTTAAGAATTCAACTTCTGAAATTTTGAGCATATTCTTAACTTAATAAAATTGATAGTTTTCAAAATCCTTGAGCGGCATACTTTTTTTTGAATATCTGTAAGGCAATGCTTCGATCACACTATACATGGACTTGTTTAAAGTAAAATTGTAGTTGTGCCTTTTAAAAAGGTATAAATTTAAATAAAATCACGATTTGTATTAACATTTTTAAATTGTTTCTACAGGAATACAATTATAGGCACACTAACGAAAAAGGTCTTAAAATGTTCGATTGTTTATTGTCTATTTAGAAACTTATTGAACTTTTATTTTTATTCTACGCCGCACTAGGTATTTTCATAAGAAGACGTTTAATTAAATTTTCTTAAAAAGTGTCATCATTCAATCAAACCTTCATATATTTTCTTACAGTCGTAGCACACTAATGGGATAGTGAAAAAAGTTTGAAAACATAAGTCTTTTAGCTATTTTCCTTGTAGCTGAATTAATATTTTACACGCCGCAAAAATAAAAATGTTAAAAATGTATACTTTTCTGAGAGTTTCAAATAAAATTTAAGCGTTTTTTCAATTTTAAACTCATAAAATTAATTGACAAATTAATTATTAATATTTTGTTCTAATACTGTATATAAATGTTACTTAGTATATAATTTAGGAAAATATGATTAAACAATAAGTTTCAATCTAAAATAATACGGACTTTTAAGTGTTCGATTCGAGTATCATAAAAGTTAACAGTTTCGTGGATTTGCCCATATGCCATGATGCATAAGGACAAGTGAAAAATTTGTAGGAAAACAACTGATAACTCTTTAGAAACTAGCAATTATAAATGAAACAAAAACAAATGAGGATGTACGATTTATCATTTTATTTTTTTGCCTTATTTTGAAAGGAAGATTCTGTTTGTCATTTTTTGGGAGTCTTTTGTGAAACTGAAAATTTTGTAATGGTGCCTCTCATAAAAAGTTATGTAAATAGCCACTAATCGCGGTACACTTTTTTTGATGATTTGGATACTTGTAGGGGTACGATAGTAATGGGTGTCTAATAGATTGCGACTGCCGTTAGGGTTGTGGTTGAAAAAACATAATAATACATGCGATCATCATGCTTATGAACGTAAGGAATGAGGACAATAATTAAATACATTTTTTCCATTGAAAACAGATAGCTTTAGTAGATTTTGTCATCTATTCGTTCGATGATCATAAAGCTCGTCATAAAGGCTGATTGATGACTGTACAAAATTGTAAACTGACAGCATTAGTAAACTTGATTCTATTTTTAATGTAGCATCCCCTGCATCATCTAAACTTGCAGCAACATTGACAACAATGTCTCAAGAATATCATAAAGGCTGATCATAAAGTTCATCATAAAAGTTGATTGATGACTGTGCATTCCCTATAGCATCTAAGTTTGCAGCAAAGATAACAACAATGCCTCAAGATTGTGAAACTTGCAGTATAATTGGTGTAAATTTAGATGCTGTTGGGGATAAGGAAGAACGATGATTATGGTCGAAAGGGACAAGTGGCAATTCTTAAGTTTAAGATTTAAGAATTTTGTATCTGTTGGGGACTTTGGGTACAGAACAATATCCACTGAAAGATTCAGTCTGTCTTCCAAAAGACAAGATATGATATGCAATAATATTGTGAACAAAAAGAACGACAGAAAACTCTGGTTCTAGATTTTGGAATTTTGCATCTATTGGGACATGATACATAATATTTTACTGCAATATTCAGCCTCATTGAACAGAGGTTATAACCAATAATCAAGTTACATTTTTTCCTAATACTTGCAGGAAGATATCTTTACGACGATCAAAAAGACAAATGATGACTTTGTTCAAAAGAGAAAACAAATAACAAATTTTCTCATTCAAGTTTATCGACGCCTATTAGCAAACGTCCCTGTTAGGGCCCGATATCTTCAATAAGAATAAATGCCCAGTTGCAAATCTGCAATTACAGAATTACAATCATCGAATTCCAAAAACAAATAATTAAAATTACGAAACAGAAAATAATTATCTCACTTGTCATAAGGTTTGGTTCCCCAAATATGAGCCGCCGAATTAACCAACCATGTTCCATTAAGTGTGAGGGCGTATCTCAGTAATGTTAAGTACCAGGCAACAATCGGTTTCTCTCCGTATAGGTAGCAAGGAAGCCAAGTTGGAATCAAGAAACAGCAGATGGGCATCAAAATAATGTACAATCTAAAAAGAATTTTGAAAATAATTTTTGTTAAAGTAAAATTTGTTGTCATCTGTTACTTAATGGCACTTTGTATAAACTTCCTACCTTCTTTGCCATACAATAAGTGGATCCTTTTCGATATCACTCATATCGACTTTAACACCTTTGCTAAAGACATCTGGATGTTTCCTGAGCATCAGCCATCCTATGTGAGAAAAGAAGAAACCTCTGTTTGCATTATGGGGATCTGCATCAGAGTCTGTAAATTTGTGATGTACCCTATGATCTCTCACCCACTCATAAATATGATTCTAAAAAAGAAAAGTACATTTTTCTATAAATATAATTTTCGAATATTTTTTTACTTCTCAAGTTAGTTTATGCAACTCAGACGCTAAATAAAGTGCCCATTATTTCCCTAGGGCAATAAAGTGTTTTCTATTGACCTCTCGTAGGTCAATAAAGTATCCATTATTACCCTAGGACAATAATAGACACTTTATTGACCGCTGCTGGCAGGTCAATAAAGTACTCATTATTACCCTAGGTCAATAATAGCCACTTTATTGACCAGCTGGGTTATATGAAGGAACTTAGCATCCACCGGCACAGGTGTCAAAATATTTTCCAAATTATTTTAATTTCGTAAAAAAGAATTTATTTTCTGAACATGAAATTTTTGGAAAAGCGAGGAAATTACCTGAAAAGCGACTGTTTGCAGAAACACTAGAATTACTCTCATTTGCCATTTTGCTTTGTAGGCTTTATGTGCCCAAAGTCTGTGAGCACCTGCCGTGACACCGACTCCGGATAAAATGCCAATTCCAATAGCTAGAAATATATATAAATTTCAAATTTTTTTTTACTTGGCAATTTAATTACTAAAACTTGTAAAATTTAGAATAAAATCTTGAGGATATTTTTGTAAATATTTTTGTGAACAACTTTTCTCAGTAATCACTGATTGAAAAAGAAAACGACTTTTAGCTTCGAATGAGCTAATTTTCACTTATTGTAGTTTAGAGAGCGTGAAAGACAATTTTTTAATTGTTTAATTCAGAGATATTTTTACTATTTGTCTCTCAGTGAGAGGTAAGCACTATATTGCTAAATAAGAAAATTTAAATGGCAAAATTAAAAATAAAGAAATATTTGCAAATAAGAAAAATTACAAATGAAAAATTTACAAGTAACAAAATATACAAATAAAAAAATTTACAAATATAAATATTTACAAATAACATTTATGCATTAATTGAAAATTTACAAATGAAAAATTTATAAGTAACGAAATATACAAATAAAAAAATTTACAAATATAAATCTATTTACAATAACATTTATGCATTAATTTCTACAAAAATGTTCGTAATTTAGAAAAATTTAATTGTTCGCACAAAATGAATTACTCACCAGTTACAAAAGAGGCAAACTTGGCTGTCGTTAATGCAAGATACAATCCGTATACAGCAGCAGCGTGAATGTAAGCGAAAGCTATAACGTTTCGCCAAACGATGTGCCATTTATATTTAGGTTTATCACTTTTGATTTTTACTAATTGTGGTTCTGCTGATTTTGTGACACTTTTCTCCTGAGAAATTCCTTGTTGAGAAGCCTCAAGAAGTAGCGTTGCTGACGTACCAAATAAATTTGGTGCCATTTTTCTTCAAATATACCTACAAAATTAATAAGATTTTATTAAATAAGAAATTAATTTTTAATAATTAATTAAAATATTAGATTTAATTTCGCACTCTTGAATTTAAATTAATTTAGTTTGTTTAAAATTCGATTTAATTTCATTCTGTTACAATTAAAATTAATTCTGTTTGATTAAATTAAAAAATTTTAATTGAAATTATAATTCAATTTGGTTCGATAACATTAAAAATTAATTTCGTTTGATTATAATTAAAATTAATTTCATTTGATTAAAATTACAATAAATGCAATTGAAAATAAAGTTCTTAGTTTAATTCAAAAGAAAATTAATTTAGTTTAGATTAAAATTAAAATTAATTTTAACATTTAAGAGAAGTTATCGACCATTACCGATTAAATGCAACTCAAACTCACAAGCAAATATTTAACCGCTTATAAATTAGTTTCGTTTGATTGGTATTATATGTAATTAATCTACAGAGTTCAATCAAAAGTAGAGTTAATTTAATTTAAAATTAGAATAATCAAAAAATAAAATCATTTAAAATAAACAAAATAAATTAAACCAATAAAGAGAATAAGGTCAATGATTCTGAAGTTAAAAAGAAGATGCTGTCATAATGCATCATGATGACTAAAAACCACTGTGTCTAATGATTGTGGTTGAAAACGTGAAAGGGTTTTTGCAAATGTGCCACTTTGTGTGTCTTCGTGTTTAATAGAGAAAGTCAAGGTCGTAGGTTAAATTATTCGAAAACTTTCCCTCACAGTTTTTGTTTTCTAATTCGGAAAAATTGATCCGTAATTGATCGTCGATTGATAGATTCAAGTACATAAATTACAAAAAAGGTGACAATGATTTCTAATCCATTCGACTAGAAAATTAATTGCAATTTTACAATTAACTTTTCTGCAATTTTTTTTTAATATTCTTAACAAATAAAAAAAATGTTTTGATAAATTATTCTTAAGAAATAAAGAAAATGTTTTGGTAAATTATTCTAAAGAAATGAAGAAAATGTTTTGATAAATTCTTCTAAGGAAATAAAAAAAATGTTTTGGTAAATTCTTTTAAAGAAATAAAGAAAATATTTTGATAAATTAAAAAATGTTAAATTATAAAAATATCTTTATAAATTAAAAAAATTTTTAGGAATTAAGAAAGATTTGTTTTGTAATTAATATTTTGATAAATTAAAAAAAGGAAAATTATAAAAATTTATTGATAAATCGAAAAATTTTTAAGAATTAAGAAAGATTCGTATTGTAATTAATCATATTGATAGTCACGATTAACATAAAATTCAACAAGAAAGTGAAAAATAGCCCATTTCATATAGGGAGAGTTCAATTACAATCAACTCGTGCGAGAAAGTGTATATATTGTTCAAATAGAGATTCACGCCTCTATGTATGAATTTAACAAGTAATTTTTTACTGCAATTCTCATTCATTTAATGACAAAAAAAATCTCTCCTTTACTTTCCCAAGACATTTTAGTGCCTGTGTTCTTTTCGAATTTTTCCTCTTCTTTTGATTTAAGAAATGTAGATTAATGAGATACTAAAAGTCAAAATGATCAACAATAAATTCCTCTTGACACAATTGTCTAATTTCACATACTTTTCAATTTTTTTCACTATTTTAATGAGAATATTATTTGAGAGTTCTGATTGATAATTACAACCACATTGCTGTGTAATTCGAAAAACGGTAAATCATTTAATCGTAAACATTTTTATTATGGTGTTATTTTTAATAAAATCACTCATAAACATTTTCATTGGTGTTATTTAATTTCTAATTAATTATTACATTGGAAGTAAAAGGGTATTAAGAATTAGATCACAGCTGGAAAATATTTACCGAAATATCCTAAGGTTACAAAAAAAAATTGAAAATTAAAGATCGAACAATTTTTAGTTCTGTTTATTTTCAGACACATTCTGTAGTCTTCGATTCGATTTTAAATGAAATAAATTATTTCAATTACAATCTAATTAGATGCAATTCTGCTGATGAAGGAATTTTTCTTTCCGAATAAAAAATAAATTTTAATTTGAAAATTAAGTTATCTTCTTATTTAACATTAGTATAATGGTTCTTATTTAACGTAAGTTTATCATAAATGCTTTCAACGGTAATTTCAAATGAAAAAGTAAGTTTGGAAAAAAAATTAAATGTGTCAAATTATCAATATTGCAATTTCTCTCCTTCGACTGCCCGTAGTCATTATTGATCGAATTTTATGTGTTCTAGATTTCTAATCGCTTTTCATCTGAAAATTACTTTCTGTAAAATTCAAACGAATCTTTCGAGATGTTTTTTTGTGATGGTAAACAAATTTGGTTAAAATGTTTAGCTTTGCGACGTTAAAGTGTAGATAAATTGTTTTTTAGATTTCAAAAATGTAGGAAACGGTCAAAATATTGTTTCCATAAAATACAAGAAAAGTAGTTTCTGGCCAACTTTCTCACATTCCAGTAGTTTTAGTCGTTCTTTTTTGGTTTATAGAAAATTATTTTTTTCGATTTAATACTGAGAAATATGTTAATGACGATGATGGTAGTCTCGCTTCTATTTAGATAATTGTCTTCCTTTACCTCTAATGACTAAAGTAAACAGTCGAAATAATAATCATTGGCCTACAAGTATAGTAATTGCTAGAATCGTAAAACGGAAAACGACTTTTCTTTTAGAATTTCTTGGATAAAATTTTCTGCTTTCATAAAAAGTTCCAATAGATAAAAAATAACTGTAAATTCAAAAACCAACGATCTATTTAGCATAGTGACTATTTAGCGCATTTTTAGAATTCCTAATAATAGAAAATAATTTTTAAATTCCTACAATATGGAGAGAACTCTGATTTTATGGCACACTTTGTGGGCACTTTGTGAGAAGAAATTTCAGTACAAAGTGCGTGTAATTGAATACCCAGGATGAAAATTTTTTTTTGTTTCGTTTCTTGTAAAATTCGTCACAACTTGCTTGTGACGCACGAATGTTCGGACTACTTAACCATATTGCGATTCAATTTTTTTCTCGAGAGAGCAGAGCAAGATGAGCTTGCTCGCGAAACTCGAAAGTCAGTTTGTTTTATATGTATAGGAAGTGAGTTAGAACGTGGAGAGCAAAACGGTTGCATGGAAGCTGTTTCAAGTAAAAGTGCTGTTCCTATACTTACAAGCGAAAACTTGAATATAAACGGTACCTGATACGCACATATACGCGATGAAGAGATGAGTGGAATCGGGAAGTGGGAGAGAAAGAAGCGGTCATCGAAAGAGCTCAAGAAACAACATGAACGGGTTCTTTCGAAAGGAGGTCACTGGCGCCTTCGAGGTCAATGCCAATCTTATAGTCGAGAGGACCATTTTTATATTATATTCACACGTTTATAATTTATTAAATCCCCCCTAAAATTAAATCTTATATACAGTGGATAGAGTAATCGAATTGTGATTCGAAATATTCGTGAATTTGACTTTATTTTCATCTGACATTTATTTCAAAGTTACATCTTTCAGAATGACTTCTACAGAAAGAGTTTTTGTTAATCAATATTTGCATATTGAAACTCACGAATCGTCAACTTGCAGCAACATTTAAATTTCCTCGAAGTTTCCAGTACTGGAAATTTGTTGACACTTTTTGAATTTTCTTTTCCTAACAACATGATAACATTCTAAGAAAATGTTGTCAATGTTGCAACAACCCGGTGGGCACTGGGATAGTATAAAGATATCCTAAGAACGTCCTAATGTGTCCAGGATAACTCTAAATGTTTTTAGAGCATGAAGAAAACGACCAAAATGTTCTAAAATGTCCCAAATATTTCCAAACTTGGTTCAAAAAGTGTACAAATCTCGTTTCAAATATATACGAATATATCCGTACGTCCTTCTGGTCGTAAAGATTTTCTAAGAACGTCTTGAGATTCCAGAAGACAACTTAAAGGATCCTAGGATCTGGGCTAGACATAGCACTTCCTTAGGTTGTCTTTAAGTCCACTTTAGGACTGTTATAGTTCATTATAGCAATAGTCTTTAAATCTATTGTTAAAAGACTATTTTGGGCTGGAAAAGCGTCCACAGATTGTTTTTTTGAACCACCAGACGATTGTTAAAAAACTGTTTTGAATCTTCTAAACCACCAGACTTTCTACGGACTTTCTGGAGAAACAGAAGTCCTATGAAGGTCAGCGAAAATTTTGTAGACACTCCATAGACATTTTTACTTTGGAGGTCCTTGGGCTCTCTCTAGGACACAATATTCCAGAAACCTTCCCAAAAGGATACCCAAGGATCATCTCCCGTTTTTGGTGGCCACTGAGAATTTTCGGTATTCTATGGTAATGCTTCTAATTCGGTTTAAAGAATATTTTAAGAAACTCTCCAGAAAGAATTTGTAGAAAAAAATTAAATTCATAAATGCAGCATCGTTAAAAAAAATTAAAAACATTAGACTGCCTTAGGGTACGCTAATGCATTGTTTAGGCTAAGATTTTGTATACAGGGTTAAACAGTTTATATCAAAATTAGTCGGAAAATAAATATCTTCAATTGGGAAACAGTAAAAATAATGATCTCTGGTGATACCATATTGAATACTACTTTCATGTTCTTTGGTATGCAGCATAATGTTAATGAAAGGAATTAAATGCGGCATGTACTATCGTGAAAAGCGGTACAGTAAATAGAGTTATGATGAACGGTAAAAAAAACAGTGAAACGATTATATCTGGCACTAATTTAACTTTGATAGTTGAATTCTTTTAGGAACAGTATTTGATGGATTAACTTCCATCAAATACTGTTCCAAAAGAAGTCGAGTCTTTGATGAATTAACATCCATCGAATACTGTTCCAAAAGAATTCAAGTAGGTTAGTCCTAAAGTAAAGGGAAGCTAAGACGACATAGAAGAGGAGAACTAATCATAAAAAGTATGGTGCGAATGATGCGCAACTAGAATTTAGACAAAATTTACCAGCAGGGACTTGGACACCCAAAG